TATCCACGACCACCATAATAGTACCATAACCGTCGGACTTCGGTAGACAAGTAATAAAGTCCATAGTCACGCTCTCCCATGGACGCTCTGCAACTGGTAGTGGCTCCAAAAGTCCTCCGGACTGTTGTTGCTCCACCTTGTCCTGCTGACATACAAGACAAGTCTGCACATAACATTCTATATCATCTCGCATGCGTGGCCAATAGTAGACTGACTCAACCAAGGCCCTGGTGCGATGTTGGCCTGGATGACCAGCCCACATTGTATCATAACTCTCCCTTATGATCCGCCGTCTAATGTCTCCAAACTTAGGCACGTAGACCCGCCGACTTGTGGTAAGTAGTAGGCCGTCTTCTATCCAAAATCGTCTCGTCTTGCCTTTGTTGACTAACTCGATAAGTTGTTTGGCTGCTAGATCATGCTGCATGCCTTCTTTTATAGCCTCCCAAATGTCCCATCTCGCTGAAGTGATTGCAGCAAGCTCGGCTTTCCGGATCAAGGCATTGGCTACAACATTACCTTTTCCCAGCTTATACTCTAGCGCATAATCAAACTCGGCCAAGAAATCCTGCCACCTAGCCTGCTTTGGTGTGAGCTTCTTCTGTGTCTGAAAGTAGCTAGTAGCCACATTATCAGTCTTGACCACGAACCTTGACCCGAGCAGATAATGTCTCCATGTACAAAGGCAATGCACAATGGCAGTCATTTCCTTCTCTTACACCATGTAACGTCGCTCCGTCTCATTTAACTTGCGGCTCTCAAATGCTATGGGATGCTTATCCTGCATCAGGACACCCCCAATGGCGAAGTCTGAGGCATCTGTGTGCACCTCAAATGTCTTGGCAAAGTCAGGTAACGCCAAGACTGGCTCCTCTGTTACAGCTATCTTAAGCCCTTCAAATGCCTTTTGACAATGCTTTGTCCAAACCCATGGCTTGTTCTTCTTTAGCAACTCAGTCAATGGTGCGGCCTTTGCTGAGTATCCACTGATGAACCGACGATAGTAGTTAACAAGGCCAAGGAAGGATCTCAACTCAGTTACCTTTATAGGTGCCTCCCACTCCTGGATAGCACGTACCTTAGCCTCGTCCATGCGTAGCTCTCCATTGCTAATGACATGGCCCAAGAAGTGCACCTTTGATTGTGCGAACTCACATTTCTCCCTCTTGATGTATAGCTCGTTCTCTCGCAAGACTTGGAAAACCTTCCTTAAGTGCTCCATGTGCTCCTCCAAGGTGTTGCTGTAGATGACTATGTCGTCTAGGTAGACTACCACGAACTGATCAAGGTAGGGATGGAAGATCTTGTTCATAAGGGTGCAAAATGTGGCCGGTGCATTGGTTAAGCCAAAGGGTATCACCAACCACTCAAAGGCTCCATATCTCGTCACACATGTTGTCTTTGGCTCATCCCCTTCCGCAATGCTAACCTGGTAGTAGCCCTTTCGAAGATCCACCTTGGTAAAGTACTTGGCTTGCCCAAGTCTATCGAACAAATTAGCAATGAGTGGGATCAGGTACTTATTCTTCACTGTAACCTTATTAAGTGCTCGGTAGTCTATGTACAAGCGCAGCGATCCATCCTTCTTCTTCTGGAACAATACTGGTGCGCCGAAAGGTGCCTTTGATGGGCGAATGTGACCAGCATCTAACAACTCTTTCAATTGCTTATTGAGCTCCTCCAGCTCGGGCGGTGCCATACGATATGTGGCAAATGCGGGTGGTTTAGCCCCTGGCTCCAATTCAATCTCGTGATCTACCTCTTGCCTAGGCGGCAAATGCTTAGGCAACTCCTCGAGCATGACATCTTTGTTCTCCTCAAGCAACTTCTCTATGCAAGGCGGCACTGTCTCTTGAAAATTTTTGTCTTCTTCTAGACTTGCAATGGTTGCCACGAATGTCGGCTCCCCCTTCTTGATCCCCTTGACAACCTGCATAGCTGAGAGTTGTGCTTAGATCTATCTGTGTGGCATAGTCACTGTAGGTACCATGCAAGCTCTTTGTCTCTCCATAACCAAGAGACGTTGGAGGTAGGGGTCGATAAAAGTATGACAATGTCTAAAGAACTCTTGCCCCAGTATGATGTCAAAGATATCCATAGTGGTTACGGTAAAGTTTGTCATACCTTTCCAAGTTCCCAATTTGACACCAACTCCATTAGCTACCCCACGAGCATTCTGTATCTCAGCATTCACGGTCTTGACGCGAGAGTTGGTTGGAGCAAGCTTCAATTCCAGTCTCTTTGCGGCATTCTCAGTCACGAAATTATGAGTTGCTCCAGTGTCCACCATTGCACGAGCAGGCTTGTTGTTGATGGTGAGATCCACGTACTGATTGCTATTCTCGGTAGGTTGGATAGCTTGCTTCGTGACAGCACCACATAATCCGATCGTACCCAACTGTGCGGTTCCCGAACTCTCTCCTTGTGGCTGCTCCTTCCGCTCAGGTACCATGGCACTGAGGCTCTTGAGGTCAGGACAATTCCTGAAGCCATGTGGCCCTCCGCATATATAGCATCCCTTCTTCTCGACCTGTGCCTTCTTCTCGGCGTAGCCCTGACGGCCACTCGACTTTTTGAAATCTTGAGTCTTGGAGTATTGTTGTTGTATCTCCTTGCCTTTGCCACGGTCTCCCCCACCTTTGACATTGTTAACCTTTGACTCCTTGCCATTGCCTTTGTCGTGCTTGTCATGCCTGAAATCCATCAATGATTCGGCCTCCACTATGGCTTGGTCTATATCAGTGACTTGTCGGCGTTGCAACTCTTGTTTAGCCCAATTTTGCAACCCGTCCATGAAGTGGAACAACAAGTCATCATTGGTCAGGTTGGGGATTTGAAGCATAAGGGTAGTGAACTCCTTGACATAGTTACGTATGCTCCCTGTTTGCATCAATTCCCTAAGATTGCGCCTTGCCTCGTACAAAACATTGTTTGGAAAGAACTGTCGCTTGAACTCCGCTTTGAACTGATCCCATGTAGTAATAGCACATAGACCTTTATCCACGTCGGCCATCTTCCTTCTTCACCATAGCATGGCAGTCTCTGAGAGGTACAATACCGCAGTGTTGATCTTGGCCTCGTCGTCCCTCACTTTGCCATGCCTGAAGTAGTTCTCTAAGTGCCAAAGGAAGTTTTCCACTTCTTGTGCATCACGAACACCTTTGAACACCGGGGGTTTAGGAGCCTCGATCTTGGCCTCCCTCGTCACCACAACATTGTTGGCTACCTCGGTCACGCCGGCATTGACATGCTCCTCGAGTGACTCTATCTTTGCCTTCATAGCATCGATAGTACTCAATCCATGAGTCTGCACTCTAAGGCAGTGATGGTTTGCCTTAGTTCCATCTCAGTCTGTGTACGTCCCTCCAAGTCATTTCGGATACTCTCAATCTCTTCAAGAGTGTGCCCCTCAAGAACGTTAAGGGTGCCTTCCACCTTCCCCAAGTGTTGGCCAAAGATCTCCACGACGTCCATCCTCGCGTTCATCTTCATCACCCACTCATTACCGAGCGAGACGTCCTCTGAACGACCTCCACTTCATCCTCGCTCGCCTCAGTGGCAGATGATTCTTGGGATGTAAGCCCTTCGTTTGACACAACCTCAGGTGGCACCTCCTGGCTCTTGTTGGTGGCATTCCTCTTTTTGCTACGGCCGATCTTGCCAGCAGCATCCTGGATGACGTTGGCTTGGGTGTTGGCAGCGTTAATTTCTCCGTCGTTCGCCATTCCCTTAGTTGAAACCTTCGCTCTGATACCACGTTGTCATGTCTTTAGTTGTTAACTAAGTACATGTGCGGCATTTGACAACTTGCTCACGATCTTGCACAACTTGCTCACGTTCTTGCTATGTCAAGTCAGCCTTACTACACTCAAGTTCGCTAAGAGAATGGAAGAAAGAACACAAGAGAATTGTTAGAAGAAGCTTTGTATTAGAGAGAACTTGAATTGTTTGCTTGGAAAATTACAAATGAATGGCCCCCTTTATATACTAGTTTCCTAGGGATTAGTGTGTAAATATTAATTATTACTCAAGTCCTTGATATTTACAAGATAAAGGCTTTTTCTAGAATTCTCTACAAGCCTAGAAGATTCCAAGGACTTTCCTAGCAAATCCATAAGGATCTAGGTTCTTCCTAAGGAAATATTCATACCTCTCTAGAATCTTCTCACAAATACTAGCCTTCTTTTTATGTAAGCTTCTACATGGCATTAATGTATGCCAAAAGGCGCCTATGTGGCATGATGACATGGCGGGTCATCACAGTAGACAAAATAATCGAAATCCAATTAACTAGACTAAATGTACTAAGATTCAAACACGTTTGACTTTAAATCATATTATAATTAATTCTTTTTTAGATACATTTTATGCAACCGTTTATTCTTTGTTGCAGCATTTTCGAATTTATCCATCATCACTCAATCATCAAAAGAAGAATGGAAAAAAGAAAATGAATAAGCAACTAGGTATGCCAAAAATAGATCATACTTTTTAATAAGTAGATCAATTTCCATTCTTTATTCTCGTATATGTACATGTTGATATATGCTTGACTCAAATATAACATCTGAACTTCTCCAATAAGTAAACTTAGGCATAACCTATAATTAACTACTACCATATACTAATCAAGTAGGCTTAATACTTCATGTCTTGAAGTTCATGAACCTCAGAATAAGACTTAATTCCATCATCAACTTCTAATCTAGTCTTATACTGATATCGACGAGCAACGTATATGAACCAGAACAAGTTTAATACTCCTAATCCTGCAATTAGGTAGTAATAATTCTCAACTCTACCTTGATTAATATCCTTTGTTAACCAATCTGGATGTCCATGTCCCCCTGTAGTATTATGCAAAATGTTTACCAAAAAACTGCTTAAATAACTTGCCCCAGCCACTGTGCAAGAAAACAAAGAATTAGCCACACTGCTCATATTTTCAGGAAATTCCTTGTTGTAAAACTCAATTTGGCCAATAATGTTAAAAGCCTCAGCAAATCCCATTAGTATTAATTGTGGAGCTAACCACAATACTGTAATAGGTGCAATTCCATCTGCACTACCATGCATTATAGCTGAATTTCTTCTCACTTTTTCAATTTGTCCTGCTACAACCATAGACAAAATTGAAAAAATCATCCCAATTCCAATTCTTTGTAACAATGTGATTCCGCCTTCAATTCTTGTGATTTTTCTAATGGATGGAACGATTAGTCGGTCGTAGATTGGTAACCATATACCTATTGTGATCATCGATATAACAGAGAGTGTACCCGCTGGGATTTGAAATTTGGGGCCGAGATGACGGTCCATTTTTAGAGCTTGTGACACTGTAAATGTGCCTTGTTGTGCCATGGCTGTGAAACATATGATACCTGTTGCCCAAACTGGAATTATTTTGAGAAGACATTTTACTTCTTCTATTTGTTGGATACTGCATAATCTCCAGGTATTTGTAGGAGTACCATCAGTATTAATTTCACCCTCCATCACCATAGCTGCTTTATTCAAAGACCTGAGTGAAAATAATATTAAGTGAGAATTTACAACATCTAACTTGGACAATTATTAACTCTGAAAGAAAATATGCTACCTTAATAAGCCAAATTTAAGTTATATGTCCTCAGTATATTTTAACCAACTGCAGCAGATTATCATGTCCAAATTACCAACCCAAAGTTACTATGAAAATTTAATTTGAGTTGGCTTTTAAGTGATGTATTAATACAGTCAGAGCTCTCTATAACAATATTTCACTATAGATAATTAATATTTTTCCTATTGTACTTAGTTTAGAAATAGTTAATGTAGATAGTCTTCCTCAATTTCTGGAACCTAACGTTTAATTTACTATAATTCTAGTTTTGTGTATGGTCCACCATTTAACCAATTTTAATATTCCAACTAAACAGAAACATCCAAATTTCTAAAAGTGTCCTAAATGGAAACAACACAGAAAACAAAGACGTGCACACAATGAATTAGAATCCAAAAGTGTAATTTTCCAGATTTTGGATGTTATTTGTTGGTAGTACTTCAGAATTTGATACGTTCATAAATTAGCAAATGAAAGCTACTTACAATTAGCAAAAATGTCCACTTCAAGATTTCTTCTACTCTACGTCAATTTTAACAACTTACATATTTTTAAAACATTTCAAAAGCTGTATCTAGGTAATCAATCAAATAAATTAAAGTATTAAACCAATTGTATTAGAGGAGATGCATCACCTGTACTTATTGGTTAAAGGGAGTTTCTTCACAATGGACCCTTTGGGTAACGGGGGATCATAGAAAACCCCGTTACTTTCCCTCTCATCTGGAAGCTTAAGCTTACGTTTTTTGTGCATCGCAACAAAAACCTGAACAATGCTAGAGAAAATACTTTCTTCGGGCTTCACATAAACGTATACTCGCGTCCCGATAAAAAATAGAATGAGAGACAAGAACATGAGCACTGTAGGAATACCAAAACCTATTACCCAACTCGCAGAATCTTGAATGTATACCACTAGAGTAAGTGCAATGATCAGAACCACTGTAAATGAAGTGTAATACCAATTAAAGAAGCTAGCAATTCCTTTTCTTCCTTCATCAGTTGTTGAATCAAATTGGTCAACACCAAATGGGATACTACAGGGCCTTATTCCACCAGACCCAATGGACAAAAATCCTAGGCCCATTACTAAAAAGCCCAATTGTGATTTATTTGGGCCCTTGCATTGTTGGCCCACTTGTGGATTGCAGGGAGTGGGGTGTAGCTGAGGTAACCAAGGTATGAAGGTCAATGTCAGCATTCCCTGTCAATAAAAGCAAACAAGAGTTTGATACCATTAGAAAACCTAAACTTTTGCTCAAAAGATTTTGAGTGACCTAAAGCAACTTTCGAGAATTTGAACGAAAGTGGCTATAATATAATATGTAAACATATAAAATTTAATTTCGATAGTGAGAAAAAATATTATATTATCAGATCATTTATAAGATTATAGAAAAACATTTATAATAAGCATAATGAATAATTAATATATTATCATGTGTTAAAATTTATTATTTTTATATATACTGTAAGAGTATATAACTTAATTCATATATAGATATATAGATAATATATGATAGCTATTGACCAAAGCCACAGGAAAGAAACATAATTATTTGGCGATAAGGAGTTTGAGACCACTATGATGTCAAGTCTCAACCTAAATCAAAAGCATATTTTAATAATTGCAGTTATTGCTTAGGCTTTTTTCCTTTTTGGGAAAACTGACTTTTTGGGCAAGAATTGCGTGGTACATAGGTAGCGTTAAAAATATGATTGTGGTTACAACTGATTAATTTATCCTATCTTCCGGCGGAAGCCTACTGATACAAGTGATGTCATTTGATATAAAAAAAATTAATCATATACATATTTATAACATTTTATTAAGAAAATAATATGCAAGATCAATAAATTGACATTGTTTGAGAAACAATACGAACTAAATACTAATTTAGGATATGAACTGAAGTCTTTAAACTTCACAACCCAGACCCAAAAATCATACAATTATACAAGCCGAATTGTTACCACATTGCTCGTCTTAAAGTGTTGCATGTGTCACTTTTTCTCAACATAAGCCTTGGAAAATGCAAATCACGAGGTATTGATAAAGTAACGTAACAAAATAACAAAAGCCAAATTAAAGGGACCCATGAAATAAATGTGCTTCAGAAAATAGTGACGAGGCAATATTAAAACAGAAAACGTACCAACATTTCGAAAACGGAGGCAAAAGCAATAGTCCAAAATCGACCGATATATGCATCGGAAATGAAAGCACCGAGCAATGGTATGAAATTAGTAACACCAGACCATATATTTAGAACATTTGAAGCAGACACTTGATCCATATGAAACACTGTTAATAAAAACTGCATGAAGTTTGCCAATAGCCCTACTGATGCTAATCTCTCAAATGTCTCATTTCCTGCCAAAATATAAATAACAAGCAACATTAACTTCAGCTGCAAACTAAGTGCTTACATATAAAAAAGACAAATATGACAATTGCATTAGCACTTGCCAAATATGTAAAAAGAAGAAAAACGTACACTTGGAAAAACTTAAAAATTTTAGTAGCTCTCTTAATGTGAGGTTTAATTTCTCTCCATGCACTTAATTTACTTAAAACAAACTTAAACATGTTATTGACTTGAGCTTATCTTAAATAAATATTTAGCAGTGTGACCATGCTTGAGATGGAGAAAGGGTTTTTGGCATAGACGGATCCAGGATTTAGATTCTATGGATTCAACTTTTAAGGTTTTTAGCATTAAACTCATCGTATTTTTAAAGTTGTAGGTTCAGACCTATTATTTGTTATAATTTTAGTGAATTTTTAGAAGGGGAGCCTTGACGTAACTGGTAAAGTTATTGTCATCTAACCAGGAGGTCACGGATTCGAGTCATGGAAACAGCTTCTTGTAGAAATGCAGGATAAGATTACATACAATAGACCATTGTGGTCCGGCTCTTCCCCGGACGCTCACGTATATAGCGGAAGCTTAGTACACACTCTACATCCCCTCCTGATTTCTGGGGAGAGGGGGGGTTGGTTTTAGAAAAGGAACTTTCGAAAGTTTAAAGCTAAGAAGAGGCAAAAAGAAGAACTCTAAACGATATTTTTTTTTTAATCTACTTATAGATTTGATGGATAGAGGTACTACAGTAAGTCGCACTCAATATTGATGTTAGAAATTAAATCATTCAACACACTTAACTTGCCGTTACCATTGATATTTGTGCCGATAAAAAATATCTAAAAATAATTTATTTGCATGCAAGTTAGCCTGAACATCAAATTTAAAAGAAAAAAAAGGCTTTTGAACGGAAAGAAGATGATCACCTAGAACATAAGGCATAGCCCTCCATCCACCAGGTTTTCTCCTGCTTGTTTTCGACGGAGAATCACTGCCGCAGCTTTGTTTTTCCTCATCATAGCTACCATTTTCAGGCGATGGCAATGATAAAGATGAAGACTTTTTCATCTGGTTTTTCTTGTCCTCCATATATAATGTTCTCTTCTTTGTGTTTTCCTAGGAGTTAACACTAGTTTCCTTCTTACTCTTTACTACGTCAATCTTAGTATTTATAGACTAGACAACATATATGCATTGTGGAAATTCAATGGCGTGTATGGTTTTAGACATGTGGAAGGTGCAACTTAGAGAGATAATATGTTGTGTGAATGATTGTGTGGCTGACGCATCTTGTGTAAGGTACACTGATAGATATTCATGAAGCACCACTTTTTCTTATATGTACTTTATTTAAAAATTAGCTTATATACATTCATAGCGTAAAAAATATTAGTATAGTACTGTTAATATAATTTAACTTGTTATTATATTATTTGTTTTATATTAAGTTATTAATTTTATATTTTCTGGGCCAATTAATTATCGTTACGTTTTAGGTGATCTTAATATAAAAATATTTTACGCTACAAGTATATTAAAGTACAATTTTCATCGAGCGGTAACTAGAATGCTTTGCAAACCGACTTATATACACACGACGAGGTATCAAAGGTGGTAACATAGCTTTACTGTCACGATTCACTGAGATTCAGCTATTTGCCGCGTCCGTCTCGCCGGATAAAGATGAGTGAATAAGGAAATGTTCATAATAATAACCACTAGTACTAGTACTGCTACGCTGTTAAAGACACTTTGTTCTTACTCGCCCGACTTCACATAACCATCACCATCAGACACGGCTTCGCCGATATTTACTGCAATTTGAATTTTAAATTTTTATAATTTCTAAGATTTAACATTTTTACGTTCTCTACGGCAATATAGTAGTAAAAAAAATAAAAAATGTATGTATGTTATTATTGTAATTTAACATATTATAGTAGCACATCATAATACTCTTGAATTTCATAAGTTTATGTTTTATATGATTTTTTTTAAAATCTTTCTAAAGTCTCAAATTAGGAAGAGACTTGTTCCTAACTTATTAATTATTCTTTTGTTGCCTTTTCAGGTGCTAAACACCTTTAAAATGAATGAATTACAAGACTAGACAACTTGTTATACACCTAGCAATAAAATGTGACATTGACGAGAAATGAACGCAAGTGTGCGCCAACTTCCCATTATCATACATTTCGATTATACCAATTGATTAATGATACAACAAATTTTACCTACCACTTTTGGGTCCAAACACTTTGAATCCCTTAATTGTGCAATTCAAAATCAATTTGAGTTCGATTTCTACTATCCTTGTCCCTTGCTTGATCCCCTATACAATGAAAAAAAATTAAATTGAATACGATGTTTAACCATTATACTACTTCAAACGACACTTAAAAATACTACATTGTTAGTGTGTCATAAAAGTTTCTATCACCTAAACTCATTTGAGATCTGTTTTTGCAGGCAAAACATGAATTAAATTTATTTAATTCTTTTCTACTCTGAATTGGATTTCTTTCGCCGCTCCTAAAAAGTCAAATTGGTGATTTATTAAATATTTATTCTTGATTAAATTTTCACAAATTTAAATATTCTCATCTTTGACGTGTCCCATCTTGAGTGAGTTTCATATGGAGAAAAATATTTTGATAAATTTTTTACTCTGAATTGAATTTCTTTCGCCGCTCCTAAAAAACCAAATTGGCCTTTCTTCTAATCCTAAATATGCTGAAAAACAATTAATGTGCTGCTTCACACATGAATTCCTCTTAACCCTAACACTAGTTTGAAATGACATTTATATCCCATTTGACCAAGTTTCTAAAATCAACTTATGTTGAAAAGTGTTTTTTCAAAGGTGTTTTTCAAAAAAGTACTTTTGGTGATAAGCAGTTTGTATTTGGCTAATTAATTTGAAAAGCAATTTTGAACAATAATTAATTTTTGATCAAGCTGTTAAAAATGTACTTCTAAGTATATTTGTCTTGAATACTTTTCAAAAAAGTCATTTTAGGGAAACTACTTTTTTTTTTCTTATCAAAAATTGCTTATGTATCTACTCAAAAGTACATTTGTCCTTCTTAAAGCTTGGTCAAACCCTTAACTTGGGGGAAGGGAGGGAGGGGAATACTTTTGGCAAATATATATATATATATATATATNGTTGAGTGTTTATTTAAAGATGGGCATACATCCCATCTCAACCCCTAGCTATTAATATTTGGATTATTATGTCATACATATAGTGATATAGGTAGAATCTATACGCATGAGAATAACCTCATTCCAGAAGAACCAAAATCCTGTGGTCCAGTTCACAATTATTTCAGTCATAAATAGTTATTCAATTTGAAATAATGGATATAATACTAATTATTAAGTTAAAATTACATTGCATGTAGTAGCCCATAATGGTATTGACTTGTTGGGGTAGCCCATGTGTATATTATCCAAAAATGAGGCACACCAATCTAGGCTAAGAATAGCATGATATTTATTATGAAGTCGAGTTTTAAGTTTCTCTCTCTATCTTTTTTTTTTAAAAAGAAAAATAAATGATTTCACGTATTTTCTTAAAACAGAAAATGGAAATAAAAAAAAACACCATTTTGTAAACGGACATTTACAAAGAAGGAATGGTTATCCAGTCATGGACTCATCACTTGGGGCCCGTAATAGACCAAAGATGGAAACTTCCGTTTAGGCCCACTTCCCAGAAAATAGAGCAAAATCTAGATTAGGAAGAATAATGAAATTTTTACCTCCTCTAGCAAAGGTTATAATACCTTATTTATTTTAAATAAATACTCTTTTAAAAAATTATATTCTATAGATACCTTTTAATTTTTATAGTCAAATATCTACTTATGGTTACCTCCTACTCTTAAGCCATAAAATACTTTCTGTATTATTTTTCTCTCTCATTCTTTCAGATTTTTCTCCACCCTCTCTCTCTCAATGCTAGTATTTCTCAGTCGAACACCGGCAACCACTATCCACGTTATGTCTTCAGCAGTCGAACACCGGCAACCACTATCCACGTTATGTCTTCAGCAGTCGAACACCGGCAACCAAACAATATTTTCCTTGATTTCGTGGTTAATAGCAACCCATCATTCTGAATCAATTTCTTAGTTCTCAAATTGTGCAATAAGAATTTGGGTCATGTTTTATTTGTAACACCGACAACCAAATAATGTTTTCCTTGATTTCGTGGTTAATAACAACCCATCCTCACAACACAATCTCTATTGGGTCGTGTTTTCACTACCGGCTTCCGGTGAACGGCGGATTCACCGGAAATTAGGATTTGTTCTTGAACAAAGACGACAGAGTTTGAGGCTGAGTAACTTGATTTTCTGTTAATATATTTCAATGTATTTTTCATGTATTTCATTGTATTCATTGTCTTTTTTTTCATTGTAATTCAATGTATCTCGTTATATTCCATGTATTTCATTGTATTCACTGTCTTTTTTTCATTGTATTTCAATGTATCCCGTTGTATTATATGTATTTCATTATATTCACTGTCTCGCTAGATGCCATGAATGTATTCATATGCTTTTTTAATTAATATAATTTATTTATTCAGATGTATTATATAATTTCTCTGAAGATTGCTATGTTTTTGGGGTATTTTTTGGTTGAGAACCTTCTTTATAACTGAAAATACAAAATTTGTGTGTTATAATTGAGTTTGTTGAGTTACATTAGGAGTTTATTAAGTTAATTGATTCACTTTCTGTTTTAAAAATAGTGTAATCCCCTATTTTACGCTGTGAATACAGTCGAATACAGTTGAATACAATAATCTGTCCAGCTGTAATCCCATGTTTCACTCCATGAATACAGTCGAATATACTCGAATACAATAATTGATTAGCTGGACTTCACAGATTCATGCCTATTTTTGCTATTGTATTCATGAATACACAATAGTTTAAATACATCAAATACATCTTATAACTACACAAAAGGTATCTATAATCTGTAATATAGCAAATGATATCTATAGATGGCTAATTACTACCAAAAGATAGTGAAAATTTCTCAAGAATGATTAAGTTACGTAACATTAAGAAATCCATAATAATTGGCCATTGGGCTCTCACTTTGCCATGTTGGTGATCAACGTTTCAATCACCTCCTAGTGGGTTGTTGCTCTAAAATTGGTAAAAAATAGGACCAGCTAGCCAGTTTTTAGACTGGTCATTCAAAAATAGTCAGCGTTTGTAAAAATCGAAACTTCCATTTAGGCCCACTTCCTAGAAAATGGAGCAAAATCCAGACTAGGAAGTTAAAGTTAAGTTACGTAGCATTATCTTTTAGTGGTAATTAGCTATCTATAGATACTATTTGTTATATTACGGATTGTAGATACGTTTTTTGTTGTTATAAGATGTATTGAATGTATTTAAGTTACTGTATTCATGAATACAGTAGCAAAAATAGGCGTGAATCGGGGAAGTCCAGCTAATCAGTTGTTGTATTCGAGTGTATTCGACTGTATTCATGGCGTGAAACATGGGATAACAGCTGGGCATATTATTGTATTCGACTGTAATCATAACGTGAAATAGGGGATTACACTTTTAAACGGAAAGTGAATCAATTAGCATAATAGACTCTTAATATAACTCAACAAACTCAATTATAACACATAAAATTTGTATTTTCAGTTATAAAAAAGATTCTCAACCAAAAAATACCCCAAAAATATAGCAATCAGAGAAATTATATAATACATCTAAATACTTAAATTATATTAATTAAAAAAAACATATGAATACATTCATGGCATATAGCGAGACATTGAATACAATGAAATACATAGAATACAGAGGGATACATTGAAATACAATGGAAAAAAAGATAGTGAATACAATGAAATACATGGAATGCAGTGAGATACATTGAATTACAATGAAAAAAAAGACAACGAATACAATGAAATACATGAAAATACAGCGTGATGCATTGAGAAAACATTGAAATATATTAACTAAAAATCAAGTTGCTCAGCCCCAAACTCCGCTGTCTTTGTTCAAGAACAAACCCTAATTTCCGGCGAATCCGCCGTTCGAGCAAAAACCCTGAATCTCACTGTTCCCACGCCGCCGTCGATCGGAGGCTTTATCTCCGTTGGATTCAATTTCGGTTGCAGAAATTACTAACACTGCTTGGTTCATTCTCAATAATCCGGTTCTCTACTTCTAAATCGACGATGAGTAAACCGGTAGATA